CAGGTCTTCTCCACACTATTGCCTGTGTCCATAGGCCAAGTATATATGCTCCTAAGTTCTTTGATTAATCTCCCCCCCACCCCCACCTTCCCTCTGAAATTCATCCACTGCTCCATGGCTCTGTGTCTCTGCATCTGTCTTGTTCATCAGTTTATTTTGTTCTTTAGATTCCACACCTTGAGTGAGATCATGTGGGACTTGTCTTTCTCTGACTGAAGCTTTATTTTTCCCCTTATCCTACTCCTTGTTACCCTTTCCTTTTCCAATCCATTCTTTTTTTTCCCTCAACCTATCGCTTTTATGTCTCCTTTAATTTCTCATGTTCATTTTTGTAATCAGTTACAACTTCCTCCTCTGTCAGCAGATGCAAAAATACCTTGTACATTGTTTTTTGTTTTCAAACCACTGTAATTGTTTGAAGTGTGTCCCAGAAAGGAGAATGTTCACCATTAGAATATATTTCTCCTACAGATTTTTTTTTTTTTAAATTAAAACTTGATTACCTTTTTGAAAGTTAGGTGAATTCAAGATGTTTTAAATAACATGGCTTTTGTTTTACTTAAATTTATTTTTATTTTTTAGAGAGGTTTCACATAAATGGAATCCTAAACAAATAGGAGAACACCTTCTACTGAAATCGTAAGTATCAAAACTGGCATTTATATTGAAAATTTACGTTAATTTTTATAGTGTTGGAACTGAAAAAAATCTCATTAAATAACTACACTGAAGGAAATTAGAACCATGAGATATTTGGGATTAGAACTTCAAAAGACAAGTAACATAGGGTTTAGGAATAAAATCCTGAAATATGTATTATGTTTAAAATAAATCTTTCTAATTTGAAAGGCTAAAATCACAACCTAATTTTTCTTTGAGTCCTTAGGAAGTTAGCACAGGTCTTCAACTTTTTAAACCTGATTACCAGGAATATTATTATTTTTTTATTAATCAGAGATACAAATTTATTTGTATGGTAATGAGCAAACTCAAAACTTTAGTGTCATTAAAATGTAGTCCTGAAGGCACTTAGTGATTTTACAACACTGACCATTTTTGTAGATTAGAATTTTACTCTTCACTTTTTAATTTTTTTTGAAGATTGTGAATTGGAAAGCCCCCAGCTTGCTCGCTCCCTCTGTGGGGCGATCCAGCACATTATTACTTAGTGATGTTCCATTCACCCTGAAAACCACTACTTGCCAGGACCTGGCCCGTAGGGTTAGGTAAGTCCCACCTTGATACTATTTTAAATAACTATATTTTGCAGGCTTGCAAAGTTGTAATATTACTCTGTTAGTGGTAGGAAACAACTTTGCAAAGCTGTACAATATTGTTTTTTAATAATAAAAGGGGACTTTACTTACCACTGAAGACTCGCTTAGCTCTGCTGGGTGGGAAATCTGGGAATGGATAATGATAATATAGGATAACAGCTGAACAGTGTACTTGTTCAGATATCACTGAGAAGGCAAGCAGTGGAATGGATCCCTCGCCCTAAATTTTAAGTATCAGAGTTACAAGTTCTGTAGCATTAGCCATTTGCAGGTAGATATCCAAATAATGAATCATAAACAAGCCTACATTTTATAGTGCTTTAAAATAAATCTGTTCTTTGCAGGCTATCCCTGTGTTATTATTAATACTTAATTTTTCATCCCTAATTGTTGAATAAAGATCTTATGTTACAGGTTTCTAAAGTATCTTTAGGCTATAAGTGTTAATAGTTGAAAACCTTAAAAATATTCAGGCTTGAATATAAGTTATGTTGATTATTAAAGTAGACATTAAAAGGTTTAGTGTGAGCATGTTCTTTCAGTATACTGATAAGTTTGTTTTAATTTCTGCAGCCTCACTTATATGGTGGCAATGCCTTTTTATTCAGCAAGTCTAATCGAAACAGTACAGGTGAGCTGTTTTTTATGGTCATTTTTGCTTAAAAATAGTTTTTGGAATATTAAATATATTATTTGTGTCTGATTGTATAACAGAAAGATTTAATACAGTATCCTTTTAAAATTTTATTTTGGAGATCCACATATATCAAAGATTAGATACTAGCACATTGCTGATGAGTATATTTCCTATGCAAGACTACTTCACACTTTTAATTCTTTTTATCCCTTTTGTAGACAGCTGTACTCTTCATTCAGATATCTCAGAACCCAGCCTATGACTTGCAAAGACATACAAAGAATCCAAAGGGTTTTTTTCAACTTTTTAAGACACTTAAGCATAACTCAAAAATGGTTACGGCTTATCATAGGACAATAAATTACCTAAGCATAAAACATGATAAATAATCATCTTAACAGTGATCAGGTAGTCGGCATAGTAGTTTACTAACAGCATTATTTTTAAATATTCCTTTTAAGGAACATTTGAGGCTATGTGTGTTAAGTGCTACAAAGCTAAAGCAGTCTCCTGCTAGTGTTTTAAATTTTTATTATTTCCAACCACATGGTGGCGCCAAAGTACATCGAATCGACATACTTTCTCACCACAGGGTTCCTATACTTAAAACTGTAGGATAGTTTAACTTCACCAATACACAAAATCCAGCTAATTCTGTATCACCTATCTTCCATCTCCAACGTGACATCCTCTGGCATATTATTTGTGTTCAGTATGTATGAGTTTCTTCTCTATAAAAACCTCACTGGATCAGCCTTTTCTCTTCTAATTACTCTTTTCTACTTAATTGCTTTTCTATCCCCATTATTGATTGATTGATTTCTTAGAATTGATTTCAATTGACTGAAGTTAACGTCTTGCTACCCAAATACACCTTTCTCTCTCCTTTTGCATTGGCATTGTGTTAAATAAATGATAGAAACTTTGTATGGGGCTTACAGTTATGACTCTGTGAGATATCCTCACATAGATGAGGGGAAAAATAGCAGGAAGGTGATTATTTAAGGAAAAAAACCAGCATGATATAGTGGGGGGATGACAGGTTTTAGCTTTAGACAGATCCATATCAGAATCCCATTTCTTTTTTAGATCTGTGCCTTTAAACAAATGTCTTATCCTTTCTAAATCTTAACTTTCTTATCCATAAAATGGGCACAGTATTTTAATAACTGAGTTATAAAAATTAAATGAGTTATGTATATGAAATGCCCAGTTCAGTATATGTTTGTTTGTTTTTTTAACCTAATATTCACCCCTGTTTTTTCTGCTCTAGGTTCTACCTGCTAATTGTCTCATTTTGATTTCTTCTGCTGGATTTTCTAGAAATCTGTTTTTCTCGTCTTAGATTTCAACTCTGGCACATCTTCCTGTGCTTGTATTAGCCTCTTTGCCATCTTTCTGCCACACTCCCAGGTGCAGCCCTTGACCCTGTCTGCTTTATCCTGTATTCACTGTCCTGGATAACTCACTCACTCTCAGGAATCGTTTTGACTCTAATCTTCATGTGAATTAAATCATCTTCGCCTCAGATTTAGCTCAGAAGAAGTCTCATCTTTCTCACCTGAAGACGAGCCTCCTTTCGAGCCTCTTCTCCTTTTCTGTTGATGGTACTATTGTTATCTTCACCCCAAAGACTCAAAACTTTCATTCTTGTTTTTAGGAATGCCTTGATTTTTGTATTTCTTTCATCCTTCATAACCAGTCATTATGCCTTCTTAGTTCTAACTCCAACAAATATCTGTGATTTGTCTGTTTCCCTCCCCCAATAGGCAACCATGCTCGTCCCTTCTTTACCACATACTCAGCTTATTACGTTAGCTGCTTCTTCCTACTTCACGCCCAGTGGGCTTTTGCCCTTCTGGGAGCTCTTTGAGAGCATTCTTCCTGTGAAAAATACACATCCATACATAGATCTCCTGAAGAACACCTCCTGGGTCCCTTAAATATGAACTGCCTAGTGAGCTTTTGTCTTCATCAGCAGTCCCTGTACTAGTCGGTGCATTTCACAGTCTATTCTATAGTCATGTAGGATTGATATTCTTAGGCTGCAGTTCTTACATCCTTTTGCTGATTAAGGATCCACACTGACTCATACTGCCTAAAATCAATCTTAGACTTTTCAGTGTAATATTCAGTCAAGGTTTTTATTGACCTCACTTTACCTTTTCAGTTTATCTTCCTTAACTGCTCATTTTTTTAACATCATTAAATATTGAGTGCCAGCCTTTATCAGGCACCATTGTAGACCTCGGGTACATAGCAACAAACAATACAAACAAAAATAGCCACCTTCAACACACTTATATTTTTGTGGGGAAGGTAAACATAAACAAAATTAATATAAAGTATAATAGGTGGTACTAAGTGCTAAAGAAAAGATATAAAATAAAGTAAGGAAATTAAAGATCTTAATGGGTTGGGAGGAGCAGTTACTATTTTTTAAAAATCAGAAAAGCCCTCACTGAGGTGGTGATGTTTGAGTAAAGACCTAGGCATAAGAACTACGTAGATATTTCGGAGAAGAACATTCTAAGCAAAGGGAAAGCAAGTGCAAAGGCCCTGAGGTGTGATTGTATCTCATGTGTTTGAGGAGCAAAAAGGAGGCCAATATAGTTGAAGCTCACTAAACAAGGGTGAGAACAGGAGGAGATGAGTTCTAAGAGGTAAGAGAGGGAGAAGCCATATAGGACATTGGAGGTCACTGTAATAATTTAGCCTTTACTTTGAAGGAAATGCAAAGTCTTTGGTGGATTTGAACCAAAGGGTGAGGTGATCTAGCGTGTCTTCATTAGGATCTCTTTTGCTATTGAATTAAAAATCGACTGGAGAGAAAAAGGTTCAGAGATAGGGAAACAGACCGGGTTTTAGTCCCAGGGTTTTAAATATATTCTTTTTACTGAAAACTCATATTTATATGTCCGGCTTGGAACTTTTTCTTATAGTCTAGATAGTAAACTCCCAATCTAAACCTCATACTTAACATTTCTGAACTCTTGATCTCTCCGCCAAAATGCTACCCCATCCATATTTCCCAACTCAGTAACAGGCATTCCTTTTCCACTTCCTCTGGCCAACAGCCCTGAGGTTATCCTGACTCCTCTCTTTTCATACCCAAATCCAACCTACCAGTAATTTTCATTGGCTGTAATTTTAAGATAAAAGCACAACTGAAGCACTTTCCTTCCATTACTGCCCAGTAGTCTAGCCCACTGTCGTCTCTTTTCTGGCTTATACAATAACTTTTTAACTGGTTTCTCAGCCTCTCCTCTTGTTCTCCTCTGCACAACAGCCAGTGTTGACATAAATTATATCTTTTCCATCTTCTGCTTAAAGTCAACCAGCTATTTTCCATCTGATTTAAATCCAGAGGCTACTCAGTGGCATGGTATCGCCCCGATTACCTTTTTAACTTCATTTTATACACTCTCTTCTTCAGTCATTGCCGTAGCCAAATTGGCCTCTTAGCTGTTCCTTTCTGCCTGTCCATGACTCTAATCCGTATCACAAACTTTGTTATCCGTATCCTCAAGATTATAAAAAGGCAGAGACATTGTAGATGATAATGACTGACATTTATTCAGTGCCTTCCCGCTTTCAGGCCTTTTCATTTACTAACAGCAACTCTGTGCATAAAAGGTAGGTGGTGCTAATTCCGTTTTTAGAGACCGGTGAGCTGACTCGTAGGAGCAGCTCAATAACCTGCCAATGGTCACGTAACCCGTAAGTCATGGAGGCAGGGTTTAAACCCTCTGTAAGAAGCCTAAGCGCTCTACTACCTCTTTCGGCGTCATGCTTTTCAAAATGAGTTCTGAGGAGCTGCTTGAGGGCGGGGAAGCCAGGTGTGCCTGCCCACATCTTCCCTATTTTCCTTTTCCAGTAGAAATACCTCCCAGCTTCACCGCTATTGGTTTTATGAAATTTCATTTGAAAAGAGAATCTAACACTGAGATAATACTTGAAGTCTGCAAATGATTGATGTTTTCCCTCCTTAGTCAGCAAGTTAGGATTTAAAAGGGATGTAAAAGGAGCCCTTTTTTGTGGCAAAATAAGCAAATGTTAACTTTCGCTCATTTCATCATTTTTATTTTAGAGTGAGATCATTCGCGATAACACGGGGATTTTGGAATGTGTTAAAGAAGGCATTGGAAGAGTGATAGGCCTGGGAGTGCCTCATAGCAAACGACTGCTTCCTCTTCTCTCCTTGATCTTCCCCACGGTGCTGCATGGGGTTCTTCATTACATCATCAGCTCCATCATTCAGAAGATTGTCCTACTAATTCTAAAGAGAAAGACGTATAGCCACCCAGCTGAGAGCACTAGCCCGGTGCAGAGTATGCTGGATGCTTATTTCCCAGAACTCATTGCTAACTTTGCTGCCAGTCTTTGCTCTGATGTTATACTTTACCCCTTGGAAACAGTTCTGCACCGCCTTCACATTCAAGGAACACGCACAATAATTGACAACACAGACCTTGGCTATGAAGTGCTTCCAATTAATACACAGTATGAGGGCATGAGAGACTGTATCAATACCATAAAGCAGGAGGAAGGAATGGTTGGTTTTTATAAAGGGTTTGGCGCTGTTATAATACAGTACACACTGCATGCAGCTGTCTTACAGGTTACCAAAATTATTTACTCCACACTTCTTCAAAATAGCGTTTGAGAGTGAAGTTCCTGATTAGTCTGAAAGATATAATCTGGACCCTTTGTTTATGAAATTGTGAGGGATAAAAGGGAACACTGGGGAGAAGATGGATTAGAAGTGAAACTGGTAGAGAAAGCCCATGCTCATTATAGTGACTTTTTTAATGCATAAACATCTCTTTGGGATCAACAGCATTCCAAATTTGAAAACTCAATAAAAATAATACTCATGAATTAAATTCTAGATAATGTAGCACACATACTGAACTAAAAATGATCTTGGGCAGAAGTAAAAATTTGTCAGCAAACACAAAACAAAATTTCACAGCTGAACTTATTCCATCTGACTTTAATATGTATTATGTGTTTATTTCACCTTCTTGATTGATATTGGTATGTCATCCTTTATATAGTATCAAGAGGTCATCGTTTACCTTTAAGCAAATAAATTATGTCACCAATGATAATGACGAGAAAGATTAGATTTGGCAGTCTGTAATCAGGAGTTGAAGTTTTAATTTGTATTGTCCCGATACATTTTAATGCTGCATATTTATGTACACACAGAAAACTTGGAATTTCCTTCATTTCAATAACTTTTCCACCATTAGGTCAGCTTATTGCATAAGATGAAGTCACAGACTTTCCGCTTGAATATCAGAATAAAAGATTAAAAACCAAGGTCCCCAAAGGTTTAAGGCAAACAGCATATTTGTCTATATCCAAACGCAGCGTTTCAGTGCCAGCAACTTAACAGTCCTCATGTTTATAAAGCTTGATTTGCTTACCTAGTTCTATGAGTCATCAGGCTGTTTTTAGAGACACTCCTAACAGAGAGAGAAAATAATCATGACAACTATCACTGTTTCTAAATTTAGAAATTGTGTACTAAAAGTAACATCACTTGTCTTCATTTCTGAATGACTTGTCTCAGTGGAGACACAATTAAAATTCTCCTGGGAATTTTTGCCTCTTGCCTCTGTATAGTCATCATAAAATAATGTCTTCAGTTTTTATTTTCTTCCAGTTTTGTGTATAATTTCATACTCCACACTAGATATACATAAAGGGAAAAGCAGGTCTCTCCTTATCGCCTTTTATTTAAACTTGTTTGGATGAATGCTGAAGAAAAAAATATAAATTTTAAAGGGAGGTTGTCCTTGCTTTTTGTGGATGAGGAAGTAAATTTCGACAGATAATAAGCAAAAATATTGTTAATGAGTTTAATTAAAAATTCTGTATGTTCCTAACTGGGTAAAGCTCTTTGTATAGTACAGTGATGTGCATCTGAGTGATCCACCATTAAACATTTTAAAGTTTCATTTCCTCCAGCGAGTGGTCGCAGTTCACTATGAACCACAAAGCAATGACTTTGCACCGATGTTTTCCAGCCTAGAAGGCACACAAACAGATATTTTACCTGCTAAATTTCAGTGAAGTTGGTACTTTTTGTCATTAATACTGTTGGAACCAAAAATGATATCCAAAAAAGTGTGAAACAGTATTTAAGTAGCAACTCTCCTTACTATCCTGTGTTGTATGTGTGTGGGGGGGTGTTTTTCAATTACTAAAACACATACGTTTTCCATTTTTAAATTTCACCAAGAGGGAGAAAATAAAACACCACTGATCAGATGTAGTATTTTATGGTTACTCCTCAGATTATGGTTTTTTTTGTCCAGCCTATGGCATTTAAATTGTATTCCTTTTGAACTAAGTAAATTAGATGTTTATATATTGAACTTCTTAAAACTCCTTTCATTTTTATTATAATCAATGAAGATGGTTTCAGACAAGAGTAAACTTTTGAAAATTACAGGTTTCAGAAAATTTCTGGAAGAGAATCTGAATGGAATTAAGTAAAAATCTATGGGATCTAGGAAACTAGATATTTCAAGATTATTTGATGGAAGTTAGCATGAAGATTCGGTTAGATAACTGTTTCATTATGGAATCGTTACAAGACTGATAGCCTGAACTACGCACAAGTAAGGTTGGTCTTACTTCCTGTCTGGAAAAAGAATACAAATTAACATTAAAACTAAAATTGAAATGTGGCACACACAAAAATTGATATGTGGCAAGTAAAATGCTGATTTTTTTATTCTCACCCAAGGATATGTTTTTATTGATTTGAGAGGGGAAGGGAGAGAGAGAGAAACATCGATCCGTTGCCTTCTATACGCGCCCCAACCAACCAGGGGTCACACCCAAAACCCGGGTATGTGCCCTGACCAGGAACTGAACCCAAAGCCATTTGGTGTGCGGGACGATGCTCTAACCGACTGAGCCACTTGGCCAGGGCAAAATACTAATATTTTTTACTGCCATTCCAAGTTAGTTGAAATATAAAAATCTTTCATATTCAAGCACTTAAATGCTGGCCAAATATGTTTAACTGAATTTAGAGAGAAGTAAGTGAAACAAAGTTTGGATATGCTCTTTCCATTTTTAAAATTGCTCTATTTCTTTAGCATATAGATGCCAAAAGCAAACATCCATGCACTACATTTCTTAAGGTGATAATAGTTCAGAATAATATTTTAAATTCAGTATGATTAACAGTATTATGAGTGAGGCTCCATTAAAATGTTGCACAGGCCCAATGGTCCTTTCTGATATTGGCCATGGAGCTGAGGTGTGATAAGCTTGCCTTACATTGTCCGATTTCTTAATTTGAGTCAGGTAGTCAGAAAGCGATTGAATTAACTGAAACACATGGTAAATATTAATTTACTTTGTTAAGTGACTTTGTGAATTGATTTGCTAAATCTGTAAATCTTTTTATGAGACACCCTTTTTATGGGCCCATGAGAAATAATTACTAAATTTATAAAATTTAGTCAAGCCTCTGCACTTCCAGCACTAGATGTTATAAAATATGAAATAGTGAAAAACAGCCAATGTCCAAATGGCTATAGATTGGGAGATTTGATACCTTAGCCAGTGTGTTCAGAATCAAAACTGGAGAGGTAAGAAGTCTTGCTCATGTGCCTGACTACTCAGAGCTATCTTTTTAGCACTGGCTTTGTTATAACCGCACAAAATAGTCACTTTACTTGGTGGGCACAAATGCTTCAGCATTTCTCAGTATGTTCACACATCTGCTCAGAAAGTAAAACAGAACATGCTGCTTTGATACTGTTTTTTTCACCTGAGATTTCGGAGTATGTTTGCCCTCAGTTTGCTCACTCCCATGTTTTAACAAAGGACTACTCTGCCAGCTCTTGAAAGGATAGGCAGATTTGAATTAATTACTTTCAATAATATATAAGCAAGTAAAACCCCTTGGTAACAATTCACATTGCACTAGAATTGAGTAATTCTTAACTTTAGCGTTTCTGCTTTCTCTTGTTTTCCAAATAGTTGTACATTTTGTTCTCTCTGATATAATGTAATGTATTTCCTTTGAGTCATTGAGTATCACTGACATGGTACCAAGCTGTATAGAAGAGTTGCAAAAATTTGTGACTTGACAGTAACTCATACATTACTTTAGCTAGAAGAGGTGTGTTGCCTGTATGTGTTTCGGTGTTTTGGTTTTTTTAAGTTGTTTTTGTCTCAATGGTGTTTTAAATGTTTTCAGTAAATTGTGTAATATGAAAAGGTTCAATAAAATGTTCCAATGAAATTAGTATTTTTCTCTTACTAATGCTAGAGAACTATGCAGGCTGGTGGTATAGGAGTTCAGAATGTGTCACCCCAAAATATGCCAGGTTGGCATTTATTTTTAATTAAAGGTACTTGAGAACCGCTGCAAAAAGGACACTCTGCCCCTCCTTTGCCCCCTGAAAGAGAGTGATAAAGCTCCCATGTGAGAGCTACCCTGCCTACCCGGAGGGTAGAGGGCACCCTAACCACCAGAGACAGGAAATTTAGGGCTGAAAGTGCTGTGTAAATAAACCTTGTTAATTCCTCACCACCGACTTCCCCACGCCCAAACCCCTCTGTGTTGTCAATTCTTCACAAATGTATTGTTTCATTGTCTAAAAGATAATAAAACTTCCTGTTGTGTTCGCTTCTTTGAGTTGTGTTTTATAGGGCTTCTGTGTGTAAAAACTTAAATTTATTTTCCTCCTGTTAATTTGGCTTATGTTAATCAAATTATTAGACCAGCCAAAGAATCTAGAAGGAAGAAAGGAAAATTTTTTCTACACCTACAGTAATAAAAGTTACATTTTTGTAAGTAGAAATGAAGATCAAGAAAAATATATATGTAAAGTTAAAGTTTTTTGTCCACCATTAAAAAAATCCTGTCTTGATGTTTTTATGAATTTGACTCCAAAGAGAAGGAAATAATATAAACAAATGGGACTACATCGAACTGAAAAGCTGCACAGCAAAGACTACTATCAACAAAATAAAAAGACAAATGTTAGAAGACATTTGCAAATGATATTTCCAATAAGGGATTAATATCCAAAACATATAAAGAACTCATACAAGTCTACAAGAGCAACAACAACAAAAAAACGATTAAAAAATGGGTGGGGGATCTGAATACACAGTTTTCTAAGGAAGACAGATGGCCAACAGGCACATGAAAAGATGCTCAACATCACTAATCATTAGGGAAATGCGACTCAAAGCCACAGTGAGAGATCACCCCACACCTCTTAGAATGGCTGTTACCAGAAAGACAAAAATGTGTTGGCAAGAATGTGGGGAAATGAAGCCTTGTGCCCTGTTGGTGGGTTGTACATTGGTCCGACCACTACGGAAAACAGTGCGCAGGGCCCTCAAACAATTAAGGACGGAGCTGCCGTGTGATCCAGCAGCTCCTCTTCTGGGTCTGGATCTGAAGAATATGAAAACTAATTTGAAAAGATCTGTGCACCCCTCTGCTCACTGCAGCTCTGTTATTGTAACAGCCGGCCTATGAAACAGCCTAAGTGTCCCTAGAGAGGTGATGGGGTAAAAAAGCTGTGACATACTATGTACAGTGGAATACCACTCGTCCAAAACTGGGTGAAGCTGCCGCTTATGACAGCATGGCTGGGTCTTGGGGGTGTTCTGCTAAGTGACAGAGGTCAGACAGAAAGGATAAAAACCCCATGATCTCCCTCACATGTGGAATACAGAACAAAAAAAGTGAGTAAACAAAGCAAAACAAACCCAGATGCAGACGGCGGAGTGATGGTGACAGAGGGGAGAGGGCGGGGGAGCACAAGCTGGGCAAAGGGGCGCAAACCTACGGTGGCAGGTGACAGCCAGACTGTTGGTGGTGAGCACGTATAGTGTGTGCAGGTATTCAGTCATACTGTGCAGCTGAAACTTAGATAATGTTATTAATCAATGTTACAGCAGTAAAATAATAAAATCCTTCTGATAGAACTGTGATGTGGCTCATACATCAAGTAACATATTTTCTAAAATAAGGCTTTCTTTGCATCATCTTTTGTCTAAGTCTTACCCATTCCCATATTTGATCCTTACAGTAGTACTCGGGCATTTTCTGAGCAGTGCTGTTTCGGGAGGGAATAGAGGCAGGTGGTAGGCATTGTTTGAGAGCAGCGGAAGGTGATCAGAAACACCTATAGCCACCCAGGCAGGACTAAGGGTGGACACGTGCCTAATGACAGAGAAGGAAAGCCAGGGAGAGGGTTTCTTTGGCAAATTAGGGTATGTAAATGTGGTCATGAATGCTGGGGAATTTAGAAAGCCACGCACATGCCCAGGACAGGACCTGAGTGCTCAGAACTAAATTGAGAAGACCCTAAACTTTCACTATTGGACGACCTATAAACTCAGGCAGGAAGCGAAGGTAGGCAGAGCTGTGCACAGCCTGGCTAAGTGTTAAAGGGGCGCCCAACAGAGAGCCCATCCATCAAGTTAAGCAACTAACTAAATACAAAACCAGAAATCAAACCAGGTCTTGTAATCGAGTTCAGTGTTCCACCATAATGGGACCTCTCAAAGTCCAGAATAGGTGGCACTGGGGCCCAAGACAGCCTGCCCCGAAATAATCTCACAGTGTCATATTGATTCCTTTGAATTAAAGTTACCTGACCAGCAGATTGTGCCAGAAGGGCACCTGGGCCCTCCCCTGTCTCCTTGAATGCAGGAAATAAATCAGCCAGGTGAAAAGTGTCCTCCCACACCCAGAAGACACCACTTACACTGGAGTTAAACAACTCAGGGCCAAAAAAATCTGTGTAATCAAATCTTATTGCCTCTTTTCTAATTTACTATGTTTTTAAATTCCTCATTAACAAATACCCAAACGTTTCTTATATTCCTTTCTAATGAACATTAACTTTTTTTATTTGGTCAATTTCTCACAAATATATTGTTCCTTTGTCTAAAAAGTATAAAAGGTGCCTGGT